ATTGTTTTCTGATATGTTTTTAACACTCTGATTAATTCTTGAATTTGATCAAATTGAAGATTGTCTTCTGTAATTTCATTAATTTCAAGCTGTGTTAATAAATTGATTTGTCTAATAATTGCATTGTATAAGTTTAAATTAGCAATATGATCTATGTTAAGTTGTAGATGACATAAGAGTTTGTTTATATTTTTGAGTCTCTTGTATAGCTGTGTAGCTTTGTATGTATAACTAATAAAGTTCTTAGGAGCTGTCATAGTTCTTAGTATATGTTTTTGAGCTGCTTGTAGAGTTAAAACTTAGCTAATTTTTCTAATCCGGATATAAATATTATATAAAAAATAAATTTAGATTAATCTATTTAAATCCAGATATAAATATATTCGGATTAATTCAGATATATTTATAATCCAGATATATTTTATAATCTGAATATATTTTATAATCCGAATATATTTTATAATCCGAATATATTTTATAATCTGAATATATTTTATAATCTGAATATATTTTATAATCCGAATATATTTTATAATCCAGATATATTTTATAATCCAGATATATTTTATAATCCGGATATATTTTATAATCTGGATATATTTTATAATCCGAATATATTTTATAATCCGAATATATTTTATAATCCGGATATATTTATAATCCAGATATATTTTATAATCTGGATATATTTATAATCCGAATATATAATTCAGATCAGAAACACAAAATTTATGTACACTTTATATTTTTAATCATCAGCAAATCACATAAATTACATATATCGCACGCATAATTTACAAATTCTTATCGCAATTTAATGTTTTTTGCTTAAGCAAAAAAAAAAAATACAATTTTATCTCGTAAAAAAAAAAAAAAATTTCAAATACTACGCTTCACTAACAAAATTAATCTGCAATTTTAAAATACTGCGCTCAACTGTTTTATGATTTATCTAATTTATAAAAAATCAATCCGTTTATAATTTATTTCATTTTTTAAAAAAACTGTGCTCAACTAAATAAAAACTAATTTATTCATTGTTAAAAAATAAAGATAAATAAAATATTTATAGTTAGCGATATTACCTTAATTAATTTTTAAATTAAAGTATTCACTATTGTTCATTTGAGCTATTAAAATACAAAATATTTAACATTTTTAATGATTCTTTACTTTAATATACTACTATGCTATTAGCTTATTAGCTTGTTCAGTTCTATTATTATCAGTTTTTATAATAGTCAAATATATGCGTCAAATCAAGTTGATAACATTAACATTAAGAATATAAAATGAATACATCTGACATTAAAATAATATAAATAATGTAAAATTATGCGATTTGGTTTAATCACACTAAATCACACAATTTCAATATCCCTAATCCAGATATATTTTAAAAAATCTGTATATAATAATCAATTCGGATATATTTTACATATAATCTAGATATAATAATCAATCCGAATATATATTATACAATAATTACAGTAATTTGGATATAATAATTAATTCGGATATAATAATTAATTTGGATATAATAATTAATCTGGATATATTTATTAATCTAGATATTTTATAATCTTGATACTGATACGTATACTTATAATTCACGAATTACACTAGATGTATACACTTTCATTAACTGCCAACTATTCTAATCCTGAATTCCTAATAAAATATCATGCTCGCATAACTAATATAACGTTAAGCTAAATTGCACATATCACTTCCAAACCAGAGTATTATATCAGATATATTGTATAATACCTCAATTCAGATTTATACTATATCATAGGATATAGTATTTTTAAATAAATTCAGATATAAATTTATATCAGGATTTATACTATGATAAACCGAATTGAGGTATTAACTCTAATCTGGATGTAATTAAGAACTGAACTTTTTAAAATTTAAATAAATATTAAAACTAATCAGGAACTGCACTTAGTATGAAAATAAATATTTAAGGCCATTAAAAAGTTTAATCACTATTAATTTCAGATCAAAGTAACTCTAATAATCATATAAGTGCGTGAGAGTGAAAGCCTGGAAATAGATTTAATAATTTACTATGATTGGTTGCAGGTTTTCACTCTCATGCACTTATATGATAAGTTCTAAAAAATTTGTACGTTTGTATGTATATGTATGTATGTACATATATACGTGCTCATATTGCACAAACTTAATATTTATCGCATGTTAGTTAAATGTAAAGAGATTTAAATAAATTATTAGATGCTGATTCAGATAGTGTATTGGCATTAAAAAATCGAGATGCAACATATTATCAGCTAAAGATTTAAATAAATCGTTAAAAATTGCTCCAAATAATACATTTGCTTTAAGAATTGGTGGTGTTATATGCTATCCATTACATAGATATGACCAATTCAGCAAATAGATTAAAATAATGCAGATATATTAAGAAAGCGTAAACTTATCACATTATGGATAGGTATAAAAAGCACTTAAAAACTTAAATAAATCATTAGAAATTGAACTAGACGAAGTATTCATATTAAAAAGTCATAGGAAAACTTATTGTAAAATAGACAAATATAAGGAATCACTTAATAATTTGAATAAATCATTAAAAATTAATTCAAAAAGTGCGGGTCTATTAAAAAAAGCTTATTATCGATTAGAAAAATATAAGAAATCACTTGCAGATTTAAATTAATCATTCAAATAGTGCAGATGTATTAGACATGGAAAAAATATATCTGATATATAGTAAATATAAAGAATCATTTGCGAATCTACATTAACTATTAATGATCGAAAAAAACAATGCAATTGCATTAGGGAATAGCATTATCACAGGTAGATATGAACCTCTTTTAGACTTAAATGAATCATTAAAGATCGACTCAAATAATGCAAAAGCATTAAAAAGTTGTGAAGAATAATGAACAAATATGAAGAATTGCTTGCAGATTTAAGCGAATTATTATCAATTGTTTTAGGATTAATAACAGATGAAATGCTTATTTACTAATGCTTCATATGATAATAGTCGACTAAGCTGACTAAGTTTAATTATAATTATCGACTTATAAAATTTATCGACTATATATACAGTGAAAGATTCTAACCAATAATCAATATTATTTCTTCACTGTACTAATCAAACCTTTATAAAAAAAAATAAAAAACAAGAAAAAAGAAATAAGAAAGAAAAAAGAAATAAGAAAAAAGAAAGAAGAAAAAAGAAAAAAGAAAAAAAGAAAAAAGAAAGAAAAAAGAAAAAGCTATTTATTTTCTAAAAATAGATAATTTCTTTTTAAGAATAATATCATGTTTACTAAATCTGGTGCAAGGCGAGTTCTTCTTGCAGATATAAGGGCACCAGCATCTGAGAACAAACGCTCAGAAGGAACTGATGTTGCAGAAACGGCTAAATATTTGTGAGCAAGCTGGGAAAGCAGTGGAAAATTTGCATATCGTTCCTTCCACCATATTAGAGGATCTTGGCTTTTATGAGCAATTGGCTCTTTCAAATATTTTGTCAACTCATCTTCAGTAACAGTTTGTGTAGTGGGTGTTGAAAGTGAGCTCCATAATTCAGCACTTAATGAATCGTATTCTTCTTCTTCTGTAGTAATACATGCTTCTGTGTTATCATTGTTCTGTCTAAATTGCGCTTCCAATATTAATAACTCTGCACGAATTTGTGCTTCAGTATTTCTACGTTCATTCTCAGTAGCGAATGAAAGTAATTTTAACACTCTTGGGTCTAACATAGATGCTTTTAATCCTATTTCATCAGGGATACTCCACAATTCGTCAAGAGATAAGTAAATTGCAGCACGTATTTTTTCTAAAAGTCCTTCACACTTTGTAGGAGGCAAATATTTTATGTTATTTGTGTCATCTAATTCAGCAACAGATTTTACTACATGTTCAAACAATAAAATATCTTAATTTATTATAATAAAAAAGATAAAGATACATAAGGCTATACTAAGCTAATGTTTCATTTTGCATAATGCGTAGACTTTTTTTTTTTTTTTTTTTTTTTTTGAGCGCTAATTGTCCTATTTTTGCAATTTATTTTAATTCTATCATTTTTATCTAATGGAGACCACCTGAATTATCTGATAGAACAAACAAAATAAAAAAAGGCCAACTGTCGACTTAATGTTAAATTTCAGATTCCAGGTAATACAAAACAAAGAATTAACTTAGTGTAGCCTAATATATATGCATAAGAATAT